AAAAAAAAAAAAAAAAAAAAAAAAAAAAACATAGGGGTAATTACATGGGAGTCACAAAAACGACTTCTAATTGCACTATGGGGCGAGATACATTTTGCAAAAACTACTTCTAATTGCACTATGGGGCAAGATACAGTTTGCAATTATTGCCCTTCGGGCATCCTACCTTGCCAGAAAGTTGGGTTGTATGCATTTCCCCAACTACAATTGCAAACTGTATCTTGACCCATACTGCAATTATAACTCTGCGTAAGAGGAAATTATTTTGTAATTCATCATTCATGTGGGTTCAAACTTCGGTGTGCATTTAAACAGTTGAGCTAGGCTCATTGGTTCCCTGTATTTATGTTGATTACCAACCTACTTACCAACACATGTAGAGAACCTAGGTCTTGTAAAAAAAAAAAAAAAAAAAAAAAAAAAAAGGAAAATTTGTCTGGCGCCCCTGTATTTTGTGATAATTCACGTCGCGCCCTTCCGACGGTTGGTTTACCCTGTCGCGCCCCTCTGAGCAGGGTTAAATTTTCCAAAAGACCCCGGTGTCGTTTGGGCCTCAATTCTTTTCGTCACGCCCTACCGGTACCGGTCAGTAATTTGCGGGATGCCCCTACCTGATGGCCATTAAAAGCCAACGGACCAATTTTCGAGCTGCCCCTACCGGTACTATCCATCTTTTCGGCACGCCCTTGTTGCCGTTGGAGGCGCTTTGGGGCATTCCCCCCGGGCCTGTGAGGGAGTTAACGGGGCATGACAAAAATTTGTCGGTGGCCCCATCTTTTCGCCGCGCCCTTGCTTGCATACAACGATAGTAGGCCACTGCGGCTGGGTGATTTTAGCATGTGTGGCCTCCCTGCGATGCACATTATCATCTCTCTCTCTCTCTCTCTCTCTCTCTCTCTCTCTCTCTCTCTCTCTCACACACACACACACACACACACACACAGGAGATGGTTTCTCAGAGGCGGCACGTAGACAACAACGTAGTGGCCGCGTCAAGAAGGACGCAGTTTCAAATCCCCGCGTCAAGGAGGGTAGGCAGTTTCAAATCGAATTCGAATTTCTGGCGCCTCACGGCTGCGGGGGCATTGCAGAAAGACGGCAAACCCTCATGAGGGCATATGGCACAGGGCCTGACGGAAATGGGACCGCCAGTCCAAGGAGGGCGTCCTGGAAAGTTGCGGTGACTACCGACAAGGGCCTGCCGAAGATATGTTTTGGCCCAGGGGCGCGACAGGGTAAAACGGCAGTCGGAGGGGCGCGACGCGAATTATCGCAATATACAGGGGCGCCAGACAAATTTTCCCCCAAAAAAAGAGCCTAAGTCCAATATGGACCTGATTCACCAGAAGGGCACTGCGGACTCAAAACTGGCCAACGTTTTGAATGTATCCAGAACATTACGTGAAGCAGATACATGAGGATGTTGTGCACTGGAGCGAGGGCTTTAGCAGGCAAAAACATGTGGAGGCAAAATTTTGAGTATGTCCCTCAAATATGTGGCTTGGGCTGGCATACTACCGTCTTGCCCCGAACACAACGCACCCTCATTTTGACTGTATGGCTACGGAAAGAGGGTCTGTATACATTCTTTGTAAGGGTGCGTTATGTTCGGGGGAACACCGGGGAACACCTCTGCAAAAATATCCCGTTGTATAGCTTTGACCTGATATCTTTTCAGTATATGCCCCTACCGGTGCCTGTTCAACATTTCCGGATGCCCCGCTGTACATATGGCCCCTCTGAGTTTTTGCCATTGACTCAACACCCTCTGAGCTTGGACAGAAGATTGCGATTTGCCTCTACCAGGGGTATACCGCAGGGCTGTCCAGCCCTAGACTACCGTCTTCCCCCGAACATAACGCACCCTAAAAATGAATGTATACAAGCGATATTTCCGCCCAGATACAGCCAAAATAAGGGTGCGTTGTGCTCGGGGGAAGACGGTCGGGGACTGGTGAAAAAAGAATCCAGGGTGGACGGGGCATGCGACTGTCAGCGGGCTCTTTAAGGGGCCGAAAAACAAATAAACGGATCTTTGAGGGTCATACCGAAAATTTTCCAAACGAAAAGGAAAAAGAAGAAAGAAAAGGGAGTTCAGTGCATAGTCTAGGCGGTGGAGTTTTCTCAGATTTCGCCGTCTGGGGCATCTCATACTCACACCAGGACTTTTTCGAGTGCTCTCTGGACGTATTCGCGGTCAGATTCGTCCAGGAATTGCCGTAATTGCGGTCAGATACATCGAGGAAAGTCCTCCTGTGAGTATGGTCCTCGATGCAGACAGGATCGCAAGGATCCCACCTCTTTGCGCGGGCTCTGAGCGAGCGAGAGAGAGAGAGAGAGAGAGGGGGGGGGGGGGGGCACGTGTGGCCGTCCGGTGGCGTCGGAGTTATCGCGGCGGAGCCGAGAATCCGTGTGGCCAGGAGGTTGCCACGTCAGCTTGTGGTGCCACGTCACCTTCTGGCCATTTCCTGTAATGCAATCTGGAAAGAGGTGATAATTTTTTCTTTTCTTTTCTCTTTTTTTTTTTTTTTTTTTTTAACAATTACGACGAAGAAAGAGGTGAGATATTGGCACTTGGACTACCTTCTTCCCCCTAATACAACGAAAGGTCATTATAGCTGTATGTAGACTGAAAGATGCCCCAAATACAGCTACAATGACCGTACATTGTACGCGGGGGAAGAAGGTAGGTCCATGGTCGTTTGACAGGGGCCATGCTAATCTTCTATTTCTCTGTATCGTTCCAATCCTTTTAACGGATGTCCTGAAGGACGTTGCCTGCGTTTTTTTTTTTTTTTCCCCTGCCTTTTTTTTTTTTTTTTTTTTTTGCGTTAAAAAAAAAAAAAAAAAAAAAAAGGAAGGAAAAAAAAAAAAAAAAAAAAAAAAA